ACTCAGCTAGGGATAATGCCTTGGATGCTTTGACTTTGCTCAAATTGATATCTGGTGTCACTGTTGATCAAGCCTTCGATAAAAGCTTGTCATTACTTGGTGGTGTTAGATCCCACCACAAAGTTGACCTATAATGGCTAGGCTCCTAGGTTAGTGTGTGTCCCACCTTTTGCTTAGTTTTTTATGAATTACTGCAGCTGGAATAGTAGGGGTGTTAGTAAAAAAGAATTATCCCCCTAATCCTTGATATGAAGAACCGATTTAAGATTATTTTCTTAGCCCTTTTTTAAACTAAAATTAATGGTAGGAAGAGTGATAACGTCATTAAGAAAATAGGGTTTAATAAGTTTTTCAAACAAGAAGCAATTGGCTTTAGTGGAGGTATTTGGTTGTTGTTCGATGTGGAAGATATATCCCTAAATGTTAATAGCCATCATCACCAATTTGTGCATACTAGGATTACCCACAAGGAATCATCAAAGGTTGAATTGGTAACCTTCGTGTATGTTAGCCCTAGAAGAAGTGAGAGACATTCTCTTTTGAGGCATCTAAGGGAGATGGGTACTTTTGAGGGAGAGGCTTGGTTGATCCTTGGTGATTTTAACTCTATGACTGACCCTTTAGAAAAGCAAGGCGGTGGTGATTTCTGCTGGATTGCTCCTCAGGAGTTCCAAGATTTCCTGTTAGACTGTGATCTTAACGACTTGGGATTTAAAGGTCCTAAGTTCACTTGGAAGTGTGGAAATTTGCAGCAGAGGATTCATAAAGCTTACGAGAATGAAAGTTAGAATCTGACTTTGTAAGTAGCCTTTAAAGGCCATGAACATAAAAGAGGGATAAATTATTATTTTTATGTGGAAGAAGCAATCTTTGCCCACTGTTGCAGATCTAGCATGTGTACTAGTCGTACAAGTAATAAAATGATGAGTAAAGATCGTTCCCACAGAGATTTGTATTCAATCACCAATTAACCATAGAAAACTAATTTGAATCAAACAAAAGTTTGTAAAAATCATGAATGTTTTGTCACCAGAAAATTGATTTGAAGTAACAGAATATAATGCTAAAATCTGAATTAAGATTTAATAAAAACAAGTAGTCAGAAAATAACTTCCCTCAACAATAAACTCATGTAAAAACTGACCATATGATGAATTCTTTTTCATGTGATGTTAATCAACCTTTTACTTATCATCAAGATGTAATCGCTTACTACCCTGATAGATACATTAATCAGAAACCCCAATCCCTTGGTGATTCCTTTCTTAATTCATACATTAAACACTAAAGTCTGAAGATTACATCAGAACTCTAGCATCAATCCCTTGAGTACTAGAATCCTGATGATGAGATTGCCAAATATAGGAGTAGTGTAAACATTCATGTTCTACACTACTCCCTTAGTAGAAAGAATTGAATAAGAAAATCTCATATCAACACATGAAAAATACTTCATCATATTAATCAAGCATACATAAGATTATCATTAAGTTCCATTGAATTCAGACCACAATGACTCTACTCAGACATAACTAAAGAATACACAAGAGAAGAAAGATCAAACTCCATTGCCATGCAGTGAATCTTCAATCTCCAAGTACAATTACATAAGAAACTAACTAATACAAGAACTAAGTCCTAAAGAAATTTAGAGAGAAGTCAGATCAGAGAATCTGATGTAAGAGAGAGAGAGAGAGAGAATCCCGATTTTTAAAAAAGTGAAGGCCTTTGCCTTATATAGTTTTACAAATTCAAACAGAAAAACTAACATGGGCGCTAAAACGTTCATGAGTGAGCGTTTTAGCGTCCATGCTTGACAGATGCCCAACTGCTTCAAACTGACTCCAGCGCTAAAACTCTTGGTTTGGATGTTTTAGCGTTGGAGACCAGAGTCTTTTCCAACAGTAGGGCGCTAAAACGCTTGATCAGGAAGTTTTAGCGCCCAAGACCAGCAACTTTTTGTCCTCGGATTGCAGCAGCACGCTAAAACGTTCTGTGTGCACGTTTTAGCGCTCAGCACCAGCAAGTTTTGGCTTCTTTCTGCAGCAGGGCGCTAAAACGTCCTGGAAAAACGTTTTAGCGCTCAACACTTAGAATTTTTCTCTTCTTCATAATCTTCTTCCTTCTCCCAGCTTCCTTTTAAGCTTGCTTTTCCTACAAGAATAATGCAAATTTTCAATAAAGCTTCTTGAACTTGTAGTTGAGGACATTCTAGGACATTAACTTCTTTTTCCATCATTTAATCACACAAATTGATACTAATTCATGCTGAAAAACCTGATGAACTAAGGGTTTATCACAATTCCCAGATTTGAATATTGCTTTCCTCACCAATAACTTTAAAAACAGAGAAGAACTTGAGATTCCTTACAAATGGAACTTATGAGGATGGATTTGAATTATGACAGATCAACATTCTATGATACAATCTTACAACCAAGAAATCTATCATTTCCCATGACTTGCCCAACCTCATCATATGACTTTCAACAGATCAGTAAAGATGAAATACAGATACTTTCAACACAAAACACCCCCTCACTAGGAACTTCTCAAAAATTGTGAGAATTAAACTCTCTTGCACTCTAGTGTTTAAGGATGTACTCATCACTCAATCTTCACTGTACTTAAACTACCACAAGCTTGCGCATCTTCTCACTTTCCACAGTGACACTGATCCATAAAGTAGATCAAAAGAGACTTTGGTGGTATGGCTTGGTTAGGAATAGGATTCTGTATAGGAGGGAAATGTCTTGGCATGAGGTTTGGCTAAAGGTAGGATTTAATGTTGCAGAAGGGTTCAGATTAGATGAATCAGATTCAGATAAGAGGAGGATCACAATTGAATTTATCTGTGTGCTCCTTAATCCTTCTCATTCTTTTCTTCCTTTTCATTCATTCTTTTCACCACCTTTTCTACAACTTTTCTTTTTCTTAAACTTTCTTCCTCCTTTTCTTTCAAACACTTTGTGTTTTTAATTCCCCATTTTTCTTGTTTCCTTTTCTTCTTCTTTTCCTCCAAGTTTCCAACACTTTGCATTTTTATACATTGCAGAAACACCTTTCTCCATACAGAGCTTTCATCCATTAACCCTTTATCTGAAACATGTAATCTGAAAACTGGGATAGATGCAGGCTCTTGATTTTATCAACAACAAACTTAGGCTCAAGGTTTTCATGCAATGGGAACATTTGGTTCAAAAAAGAATGCCTCAATCAACTCTACCTTACAAATCATGAACCATTTCAAGCAAGAAACAAAGCAAGTTCTAGAGTTAATCATACAGTGAAGTGCTCTCTGAAAAAAAAAATTATGTATAGGCTCAATTCCTCACAGTTCAGAGTGCATGCTTGACTACCTCTATTATTAGAAATTGAGAGAGAGAGAGAGAGAGAGAGAGAGAGAGAGAGAGAGAGAGAGAGGAAGAGAGGAAATGCCACATGTTCTGTATATTGTAAAAACTAACTACACTATTACAAAGGGGCTATATTTATAGTATCTTAGAGATAGCTAGCAGACTCAGTATCTTCTAACAGAAAAGGTTATAGGCCCTGTTCTAATACACCAGTAGTATTATATACAAACTACATCAACATTTTAGAAGCTAAAGAGCTTATAGCTCTAATACCCGCCCGCAAGCTCGAGGAGGCTTGGATGTAATTAGAGAACCATCCAAGACTTTGAGCTTGGTTCGTAACTCAGCAAAGCGGACAGAATTGAGAGGCTTAGTTAAGGTGTCTACTATCTGATCAATGCTAGGAACATGAGTAACCAGAAGTTCCTTCTTCAAGACACGTTCACGAACAAAGAAAATATCAAGTTCCATGTGTTTGGTCCGAGCATGAAGAACCGGGTTGCGAGTAAGAGCAACTGTACTTTGATTGTCACAGAAGACATGAGGAGTAGAGAAGGAAACATAAAGCTCTTCAAGTAAAGACTGAATCCATAAAAGTTCAGCACATGTGATAGCCAAGCTACGATATTCAGCCTCGGTGCTAGAACGAGCAACCAAGGTTTGTTTCTTGGACCACCAAGAAATAAGATTGAGACCAAGAAATATAGCAGCCCCAGACGTGGACCTCCTGTCATCAGGATCCGAGGCCCAATCTGCATCACAAAACGCAGAGAGGGACAAAGGAGCAGTAGCACAAGCACCCTGCAGTTGTAAACCAAAGGAAGACGTGCCTTTCAAATAACGCAGTATACGTTTGACAGCAGCCCAATGATCATCCAATGGTTGTGCCATGAACTGGCAAACTTTATTAACGGCATAGCTGATATTTGGACGAGTAATAGTAGCATACTGAAAGGCACCCACAATGGATCGATAGTGATGAGGATCAAAATAATAGTGAGACCCAAGACGAGATAACTTGCAGCTACTACTCATTGGAGAAGAAATGCCTTTAGCCTCATGCATAGAAGCTCGAGCAAGGAGAGTCTGTATATTACTTTCGCAATCAACGGTTATTACCTTCGCAAATCAAACTCATTAATTAATATTTAATTCACAATGAATGATAACCATTGATTGACGAAAATCAATGATTAAGATATGGTTGTAAACAAAAATAGATTGTAAGTATAACCTTCTCTTTTTTTATTGACTCTTGTAATTTTGAATGTTCGTTTAAAAATCATATAATTTTTTAAAATCTTATAAATTCATATTGTCCTTCCAAATCTTATAAATTCTATTAAAATCCTTTAAAATCCAATCTTATGAAATCTTGATTGTAATAAAAGTCTTTTTAAAAAGTCTTTAAAGTCCCTCTAATTCTAAATAGTTTTTAAAAATCTATAAGATTTTTTATCTCAAAAAAATCTTTTAAAATCCTAATTTAATACACCCCCTAATATTGTAATAAGAGCCGATGCATCACAAAAATTTTAAAAATAATGAGGCTTTCACATGACTTTTGATTTATATGTTTATCTCTAATATTCATGCACGGAGAAAATAATTGAAAACAAAATTCAAGCAAAAGGAAAGGGGCATAAAACTTAATTCATAATTGCTGAACTGAAACTGAAGTCATGTACAAATTGACTGCCCCCTAGACATCTACACAAAATGCTCTTCAAGCAATGAACAATGCAGATACAGAAGAACTTTAAAATTACAAATTACCCGCATGTTTAAAAACAATTTCCAAGTGAAAAAGGTTTTAGGTCAAATCACCTTAGACGATTGCCCAAAACTTTTTTCTACATATTAAAACAGTTTCCATCTTCTTTTCTTTGTTCTCTAGCAAATGTGACTCCACATCCCACATGAATTTTGGGGCTACCTCTTCGATTCTTGACTTAATATGTTCCTCATCCCTAATGATAATAAATCCCTGCAGATAGTAAGGTCTGAGTTATCAATGTTATCCACACGAACAAAAGTAAATGAAAGTTATGAGTTGCATCAAGAGAACTTCAGTGAGAATAAGGAAAAAAGGGAATAGGGGTGGAAGAGAAAAAATTATGAATCCATTTGATCTCTTTAAATGCAGGTAGACAAATAGGCACTATACTTATAACAATGAATTCTACAGTGTCCGGTACCCCCAAAGATAAACAAGTTAAGTCTTAAGTCTTAACTGTCCTCCAATTTATTTGTAGTTGTACAGGATGGGGGTAAACGTTGCAATCAATATCTTTTTCATTCATTCCACCTTTCTCTTAATAAACCAAGCATACATTGCTTTCAGGTTATTATAATTTTATCTCCGACAGGAACCACCCACTACTTGGTGATACAAGTCTGTCACAAGCACAAAGTATAGATTATCAAAAGATCGCCAGGTTAGTTAAATCGAACATAGTTTCCTCTCTTGTGGGGTTGTTCGCATTAATTCCTATGATTATTAAATTAAAGGAATTCCCCTTGCTAATTCCAAAAGTTAAAATTTCCACTGCTCTTACGATTGATTTTTTCAATAACAAGATTACATTAACCATAGGGCAATGTTGTATAAACATGATTTTCCTTCTAATTTTTTATTTTAGTTGTTTTTATAACATTACTTTGTTTAATTAAAGCACACAAGATGAAGGATCAAATCACCAAGCTCAGACATTTCTGCAAAATTCATCGTCGCATATAATCATGCAAGCACAAACTGACATTTGGACAAGTATATAGGTATTTGTATTATATTTGACCAAAAATCTTATTTTCATTTCAGTCAAATGAACTTCTACTTTGATTTCATATGCAGACCACCATGAAAGATAACATTTCAGAAAAGTAATTACCAATGGCCGTATAAGACGATCCATCTCCAGCACAATATCCTCCAATAAACAACCTTCCCCTTGGGTTTTGTAGTGCGAGAAGAGGAAGTTGGCATGCAAAAGATCATATGTCCGAGGATAACTTGAAAATGGTTCACACCTAACGTAAAGATATCTATATTAGCTGCAGTCAACTAATACTGAATATAAATACACAAGTTAAAAAAAAGTCTAACCAATCATGAAAAGTTCCAATCAATCCCCGATCATAAATTCCAGATAAGGTGTTCTTCATGCTTGCAGGAACTACATTCATTACCCAAACAGGAAAGTTATCTAGTGCGACAGCAAATCCACCACAAAAGGCATTCATATCCATCACATTGCGTATTTCTGTCTCCTTGATATTCATCAGTTTCCAATAATGACGAATCTGATCTTGCCAGAAAAGAGTATCTGATGTAAATTCATCTTGATTTATACCTGTCATTCAAAAGGTTGAGGGGGATCATATTCGACTGAATTACTGACAGGGATTGTTGAGAACACCACATTAATGCTTGTTTTATTTTATTACTCAAGATTGAACAGTTATACAACTGTTGTCCTTTTATATATATATATATATATGGTTTATTTGATATAGATATATTACTTACTTGCCAATCCCCACTTAATATCTGGGCAGAGATCAGAGAATGTTTTCTATATCGATATGCTATATCAGTATGTATATGATCCTTATGAAAACACATTCATGATGGACAATTTTAGGAAGTGCTCAACCACATAGATCTGATGATATAACATATTTATTCAGAAAAACTATCAAGAGCACTCCTTTCGCTTATTATTTAAGCAATTCAAATTATGTTCTAATCTAAATTGAAGAATTTTGACAAAGCAATGAACTGCTTGAGAAAAACTAGCATTAAAATAGCATCAACTAATGAAGTTCCCACAATGCAACCAAAAGATGATGTTAGCAACGGCTAATTTTTGCTCTGCTCCAGATTATGCCTTTGATTAAAAGCTAGGGCCTGAATATCATCGTTGGCCTTTTGAAAGAACTCTTTGATAATAAAAAAGCATATGCATCAAGAAGCGTACACATTGAAATCACTGTCACGGAAATTTCTAACAGAGCATGTGTTAGGACCCATTTACAAGGTATGGGACTTGGAGTCCCACATTGGTTGTATAGGCAACTAATGTGAAGTTTATAAGGCCTTGGACACTCTCACCCTTTGAGCTAGCTTTTGAGGTGGTGCATCCCAAGGTTCTTATCAAATGGTATCAGAGCCTTCCACTATATCTCCCAGTTGCAATTGTGTAGCGCGAGTAAAAGGCTAGCACAAGCCGGGGCTACGGAGCGTGGTGGAATGTTAGGATCCATTTGCAAGGTATGGGACATGGAGTCCTATATTGGTTATATGGGCAACTAATGTTGGAGTTATAAGGTCTTGGACATTCCCACCCTTTGAGCTAGCTTTTGGGGTGGTGCATCCCAAGGTTCTTATGAACATGATATACTTCGCTATCTGAGATTTGTAATTAAGACCATTAGTTAAGACCACTTGATGAAAGTCTTTGCAGACAAATATTCATGTTGTGCATGCACATGCATGTTGTGTGTGTGTGTGTGTGACCAGGCATCACTACTAGGAAGGTTGGAAAAGCATAATTTAAGAATGAGGAAAGCATAAAATATGGAAATTAGTTTCTTGCACTTATACGAAAGAGAATGGGCTGACCTACCTATCTTCTTCAGGTTTTCAGAAAACACTGAAAGGCGCTCGTGACTAGGAGGAAGCTTGTAAGAATCTGCTTCTGAATTTCTAACTTGTACACAATTTTTGAGTGGGATATTCCACGAAGGTTTAGAATCATCAGCAGCATCACATACATTTATAAGCTTTTGTTCTGCATTGTGCAGAAGGCATGACTGATTATTTTCTTTAATCCATATTGCTGTCTGAACTTTTCGAGCAATAAGTCTCCAGCACATTGACGTAGTCAAATTCACTAACTTATCCCAAATGACAGGATAATCTTTGTCTTTTCTATATGCAGGTGGAGCCGAATAAACAAAATACCCATTAGAGCGAAGAAGGCGATTCAACTCCTTCATCAAAATCCCATCTGCGGAAAACAAAATAAATTAACAATGAAAAATTAGACAATCCCAATTACATAAGGTGAACCCAACCACTTTTTAAGCTTTGACAAAGTATACAATGCACCTATTCTACTAGTTACCTGAATAAATTCACAATAGAAGATATAAATGGATCCAATTAGATAAGATTTCCCCGACAGGTGACTATAGAACCCCATTGCACCTATTGTACGAGGTCATCCTATAAAATAATGAAAATGATGATTGAGGAAAAGAACATCCAAGTAATTCTATGAGTACTTACTAAGTTTTTTTCCCATTTCATATACATTCTCTTGATTAGTACATCCTTACAGCTGAATTATTAAAAATAGGATAAAATGTGTAAGAAACCTATTGTTAGAGATATATAAAACCATTAATGTAACCTCACTCAATGCCTTAAGGTTTTGGGTTGAATTGGTTCTTTACATGGCATCAGAGCCTCATGTCCCAGGTACGATCCTCACCGCCCCCCATTTTCTCTTGTGAAATTTTTTAATACAGGTAGGTTGGCCTGTGCATTGTCCACCCTTCAAGCCCAGTGGGCTCTCGTGTGAGGGGACATGTTAGAGATATATAAAATCATTAATGTAACATCACCCAATGCCTTAAGGTTTTGGGTTGAATTGGTTCTTTACACCTATCATCAAGGTGCATGCTAGGAAAGGCTGCATAGGATTGGGCCCTTCACAAGCCAAAGCCAGGTGAATCTCACTTGGCAGGAGTTGGAAGGGGAGAAAGGGAAAGGTGAGGAGGCATCTGAAGTATATTGGGAAGTAAGCTAGGAGAGGCATGAGCCTATCAAATGCTCAAGGATACCATTTTCTTTCTTCTTCGTTGATAAAACCCTAGTTCATCACGTTTTTAAGCATGAATTAGTATCAATTTGTGTGATTAAATGGATTGAAAAGAGGTTAATGTCATGGAAATCCCTCAAGTAAAGTTCTGAAAGCTTTGTTTAAAATTTACATTGTCTTGTAGGGAAATAAAGCTCAAGGAGCAACAGAGAGAAGGAAGAAGATTCTGAAGAAAGGGAGAATGCTCAAGTGTTGAGCGCTAAAACGTCCACACAGAAAGTTTTACAAAAGTTGCTGGTGCCGAGCGCTAAAACTTCCGACATTAACGTTTTAGCGCTCTGCTGTTGTTCATCACGTTTTTAAGCATGAATTAGTATCAATTTGTATGATTAAATGCATGGAAAAGAGGTTAATGTCATGGAAATCCCTCAAGTACAAGTTCTGAAAGCTTTGTTGAAAATTTACATTGTCTTGTAGGCAGCAGAGAGAAGGAAGAAGATTCTGAAGAAAGGGAGAATGCTCAAGTGTTGAGCGCTAAAACGTCCACACAGAACGTTTTAGCGCGCTGCTGCAAACTGAAGACAAAAGTTGCTGGTGCCGAGCGCTAAAACTTCCTGATCAAACGTTTTAGCGCTCTGATGTGGCAAAAGATTCTGGTCTCAAACGCTAAAACGTCCAAGTCAAACGTTTTAGCGTTGGAATCAGTTAAAAGCAGTTGGGCACTCGTCAAACATGGACGCTAAAACGCCCAATAGTGAACGTTTTAGCGCCCATGTCCGTTTTTAGTTGTTATTCAATTGTATTTTGTAACTCCATAAAAGGCAAGGGCCTTCACATTCTCTCATAATCTATCATATCTTAGATCCTCTGATCTGACACTTCATTTTCTCTGACTTTCCAAATTCTTTAGGATTAGTTCTTGTATTAGTTAGTTCATTCTATGTAATTGTACTTGAAGATTGAAGACTCAACTATCATGACAATGGAGTTTGATCTTTCTTCTTCTCTTGTTTATATTTCAATTATGTCTGAGCAGAGTCCTTTGTAGTCTGATTCAATGGAACTCAAGTGTGAATTTATGAATGGTTAATTGAATATTTTGTTTATCTCTTATGTGATTGTATGAAGTTGCCTTGATTAATTCTTTTGATCAAGGGAACAGTGTAGAACAGACATGTTTACATTGTTTCTGTAATTGACAACTTCATCATCAGTGTTCCAGTAGTCAAGGGATTGATTCGAGGATTCTGATGTGATCTTAAGATCTTAGTATTTAATGCATGTATTAAGAAGGGAATCACCAAGGGATTGAGGTTTCTGATTAATGTAACAATCAGGGTAGTAAGAGATTACATCTTGATGATAAGAAAAAGGTTGATTAACATCACATGGGAGATAACTCATCATAGGATTTGATTCTGACATAAGTTCATGCTTGAGGGAAATTGATATCTGACTACTTGATTAGAATATAATTCACAGTTTTATTTGTTTATTAAGTTTTAATACAATTCAACTAAGTTTCTGGTGACAAGAAATCAATGCAATCAATCATATTTTATTTGATTCAACTTAAGTATATATGGTTAGTCGGTGTTTGAAACCAAATCCTCGTGGGAACGATCTTTACTCATCATTTTATTACTTGTGTGACTAGTACACTTGCTAAACCACAACAAGTTTTTGGCGTCGTTGCCGGGGATTTGTTCTTCAACATTGACAGACACTATTAGTGTTTGAGATTGAGTCTTTTATTTTTCAGCATTTTATATTTTTGTGTGAATTTTTGTTCAGCTTCAATTCTGGTGTATGCGAGATACTATTGATCCAAATTCTTTGTTGTTTGACCCAGACTTAGAAAGGACAATTAGGAAGAACAGAAAGGCAGCCAGAAGAAGACAGTTACAGGAAAAGGGTGAACCAAGTATAACAGTCCAGGAAGAAATTATGCCAGAGAATCATGTGCAACCACCACAGAGGACACTGGGAGATTACATGACTCCCACTGTCATTCCACCAATTGGGAGTGTTGTTAGACCTACTGTTGAGCCCAATAATTTTGGGTTGAAGCCTGCACTGGTACGATTGGTGCAGAAGGAACAGTTTGCTGGAACTAGTGCAGAAGATCCATACCTGCACATTGAAAACTTTTTATTGTTGAGTGATACTATGAAAATCAATGGGGTGAGCAGAGATGCCATTCTGTTGAGGCTGTTTACTCATTCACTGAAGGATGATGCTAGGAGATGGTTACAGTCACTACCACAAGGGGGTATCACAACTTGGGATGATCTGCAAACCAAGTTCTTGGCCAGGTTCTTTTCAGCATCGAAGAGGGCAAAGTTGAAGGATGAGATTACAGGATTCAAGCAAAAAGAGTCAGAGTCTATCTATGAGGCTTAGGAGAGGTTCAAGACACTCTTGAGGAAATGTCCACAACATGGGATAGAAGTGTGGAATCAGGTAGCAATATTCCTCCAAGGGTTGACAACCAACACTAGGACATTGATGAATGCCACAGCAGGTGGTTCATTGACAACCAAGACTCCTCAGGAAGCCCTTGACATATCTGAGTCCTTAGCATCTCAGGAGTTTGACAATGCTCCAGTGAATGACAGAAGAATGGGAATTATAAAACTTGATGGCTATGATGCTTTGTTAGCCAAGAATGATCAAATGATGCAAATGCAGAAACAACAACAACAACAACAACTGGATGCTCTCACTAAGCAGCTATCTTCTCAGAAGGTTGCTTCTGTGAACACTAATTCTGTGTGTGCCAATTGTGGGAAAAGCCATGTTACAGATGATTGTGATTGTGGGGGACCTGCTGAAAAGGCAGAAGTGAATGGGGTATGGTATGATCAGAGGAACTATAACAACCAGGGGCGAAATGTTTATGTTCCACCATGGAAGAATAAGAATCAACACCCAAGGTTCAGTTACAGTTCCAATCATCAGTTGAATCCTCCACTGCATCCTCCTCCAACACACTCATCACAGCAAGGTGATACCTCTGCATGGGAGAAAGCTTTTGCCCAGTTATCAAAGACTACTCGAGTATATTCAGGGGTCAAATTCCTTCAGAGAAGAAACTTCTGCTTTCATATAAGAGACAAAGACAGCATTTAGGAACCAGGAAGCATCTATCCGGAATTTGGAAACACAAATTGGCCAGTTGTCTAGACAGATGTCTGAGAGGCCACAGGCAAAGTTCCCTGGTGATACCATGGTGAATCCAAAGGAGCACTGCAAGTACATCATTACAAGAAGTGGCTTGTGCTTCAACTGGTCAGCAAGAAAGTGGAAGAGAAGAAAGATGAGGGAGAAGTTGTTGTAGTTGAAAATGATGGAAAAGAAAAAGTTGATGAAGGTAATAAAGAAGAAGATGAGGTAGTAGTTGAAAAACGTTCTTCACCCAAGAAGTTGATGAAGTGGGAGAAGAAGAAAATGGCTGACAAGCAGGACCAGCCAATTAACCTATCTCCATACGCCAAAGTCCCTTATCCTCAAAGGTTGAAGCAAGAAATTCAGAAGCAGCATTATGCAAGGTTTCTGGATATTTTCAAGAAATTGCATATCAACATTCCATTTGTTGAAGCCTTGGAGAACATGCCACACTATGCAAAATTCATGAAGGATCTTCCGTCTAAGAAGAGGAAGTTGAAGGATGGTGAGACTGTGGCATTAACAGAGGAGTGCAGTGCCCTGATTCAGAAGAAGCTTCCTCCAAAGTTAAAAGACCCAGGAAGTTTTAGCATTCCTATTGCCATTGGAGATGTGGAAGTAGGGAAGGCACTTTGTGATTTGGGGGCCAGCATAAATCTGATGCCATTGTCTGTCTGTAGAGCTTTGGGAATTAACAAGTTGAAGGATACCAATGTTATTCTGCATCTAGCAGATAGATCCATCAAGAGACCAGAAGGAGTGGTAAAAGATGTTCTGGTCAAGGTAGATAAGTTCATTTTTCCTGTGGACTTTGTGATACTTGATATGGAAGAAGAAGATACTGAGATCCCTCTACTTCTAGGGAGGCCATTCTTAGCAACTGCTAGATCCCTGATTGATGTTGAACAAGGGAAGTTGATTCTAAGGGTGAATAAAGAGACAGTTACAATTGATGTGTTTGAAGCCATCAAGCTTCCTGTTAATGTGGAGGATTGTTTCAAAATTGATATCATACAGGAAGTTGTGGAAGAAGTGACAGGAGAAGAAGACTTATCATTTGAGGAAGACAAAATTAAGGAAGAGATGAGTGGGGAGTATTCTCAGGAGGAACCAGTGGTTGAAGAGTTGGAAAAGAAGGTTGATGACATTCCTGAGGGAGCACCTAAGGTGGAACTAAAAGAACTACCTTCAAATCTGAAGTATGTGTTCCTTGGGGATGATCAAACTTACCCAAC